TTGAAGTCCCAAAGGAGAATGATTTATGAAGGAGAGCTTGGGTGTATCAGATTTTTGTATTTTCCATTATGTGTTTTGAGAGCTTAATAGAAAAAATGTTATATTTGGCAGTCAGGGTTCCTTAGTGATCTGAGTGAGTGAAATATCCATGGAGCAGTGGGGATCAGCCAGCAGAGAAGATGGATGGATAGTTATTATAAATTGATGCATAATCCAAGATTGTGGTTTTCAAGGTAGGTATAATCCCTAGAGGTGAGAAAGTGCCTTCAGAGAAATTGAGGAAAGGATTTCAGGATATAATTTGGATTGGGAAGTTAATGAAGTCAAAAGGGGGAAGATAACTTGAGAGGATAGAACCAAACTGGTGGGGGGCAGTGTTTCCCTTTGCTTATAGACAGCTGTGTTGGTGCATCATAGCCAACCAGCCCTCAGACAGAGCTCCAGGATCTGCCCAGTGCCTCTTCTGATTAGCACGCTCATTGGGGCCACCCGAGAGCATGGCAACCCCAAAGGGTTGGAGCTTAAAGGAGGGGGACCTTAGGCTGTACAGATTTTGGGAGGAGTATCTCCAAGGTGAAATTTCTCTGAATCCGGTTTCTCAACTTCGAGACTTGACATTTTGGGGGCTGGGTAGTTCTTTGTTGTGGAGGCAGGGGCTGTCTTATGTATTGAAGGGTGTTTGGCAGCATCCCTGGCCTCTACCCACTAGATGGCACCCCCACTACCAATTTGTGACAACTAAAAATGTTTTTAGACGATGCCAGACATCCCCAGTTGAACGGTTCTATGAAGACCTACAAGACCTTCTAGAACTAACACCCAGAAAAGATGTCCTTTTCATCATAGGGGACTGGAATGCAAAAATAGGAAGTCAAGAGACACCTGGAGTAACAGGCACATTTGGCTTTGGAGTACAGAATGAAGCAGGGCAAAGGCTAACAGAGTTTTGCCAAGGGAACACACTGGTCATAGCAAACACCCTCTTCCAGCAACACAAGAGAAGACTCTACACATGGACATCACCGGATGGCCAACACTGCAATCAGATTGATTATAATCTTTGCAGCCAAAGATGGAGAAGCTCTATACAGTCAGCAGAAACAACACCAGGAGCTGCCTGTGGCTCAGATCATGAACTCCTTATTGCCAAATCACACTTAAATTGAGGAAAGTAGGGAAAACCACTAGACCATTCAGGTATGACCTAAGTCAAATCCCTTACAATTATACAGTGGAAGTGAGAAATAGATTCAAGGGACTAGATCTATAGACAGAGAGCCTGATGAACTATGGATGGAGGTTCGAGACATTGTACTGGAGACAGGGATCAAGAACATCCCCATGGAAAAGAAATGCAAAAGAGCAAAATGGCTGTCTGAGGAGGCCTTACAAATAGCTGTGAAAAGAGAAGTGAAAAGCAATGGAGAAAAGGAAAGTTACATCCATTTGAATGCAGAATTCCAAAGAATAGCAAGGAGAGATTGAGGACAAGGACCTTTTCTAAGTCTTTGCATACCTAATATCTTGCAAATTATCTGGCGCATAGTACACTGTCAGTAAATGTCTACTGAGATAAGCCAGTTTTGTTGATAATTGGATAAATAGGTTAAACCTGCAGTTTCTTAGAGTATTAGAGTTATCAGGCCTCAAAAAGAGGCTAGAGTTCCCTTGGTATTGTCAAAGTCTGATTTGTGTGGAGAAGTGTTTTATCCCATCATTTCTTTTATTTTTATTTAAAAATTTTAAAAATAAAATTATATCCAGTTATTTCTGTGAGGACAGAGTCCTCTGGAAGAATGGGAAATGGCACAGAATGACGTGCTGGCTTTAAAAGATAACACAGATCCCTTTAGCTCTTCTAGCACCTGGAGCTGACTGTGCTGTAGGTAGTTTCAGAGTTTCACTGAAACTATAGGTAAAGCTGGGAAATAGGCAGAATGTCAGGCAATCAGTTGCATACCTAACCTATTCTGGTGGAATGATGCTTTCTAGGCAGGTAATAAAATTATAAGCCCAGTTGTGGCATTTACAATAATATGAATGAAATGTAACATTTATAAAACTGATTGGTTTCCAGATTTGTTTACATGTTTATCCTTAATGCAAATATATAAAATGTTGCTCTGTTTTACTTTTTGGCCTAGCAGTATAATTTTAATTGATAAATAATGTACACCATAAAACACATAATTGATAACTGCATAGTTCAATAAATTATCAACAAGTGAAAATACCTGTGTAACCACAACTCAGTTCAAGAAATAGAACATTACCAGCCCTCTCAATAATTTTGAAAAATGCTATATGATTCAGCAGTTCTACTCTGGGTTATATATTCAAAAGAATTGAAAAATTCAACAAATCTTTGAAAATTTTATCTTATTGCTAATATTCATTAATTTCTCATTGTGTCTAAGGCTCATTCTGTCGAGCCTTTTTAAAGTTATTGGAAAAATATACACAACAAAGAAGTTACCATTTTACCATTTCAGTGGCCCTAAGCACTTTCAGCTTGTTCTGCAGCCATCATCATTCACCATCTCCAGGACTTTTTTCCTCTTCCCAGATTAAAATTCTGTACCCGTTAGACATTGACTTCCCATTCCTGTCTGCCCCAGCCCCTGGCAGAATGACAGAGACCATTCTGGCAACCACCATTCTACTTTCTGACTCAGAATTTGATGATATATGTCATATAGTAGTATGATATATGTCATATAGTATCTGTCCTTTTGTACTGGCTTATTTCACTTAACATAATGTTTTTGGGGTTCACCCATGTTGGTGCTAGTGGTAAAAAATCTGCCTGCCAAGGCAGGAGACATAAGAGATGCAGGTTTGGTCTCTGGGTCAGGAAGATCCCCTGGAGGAGGGCATGGCAACCCACTTCAGTATTCTTGCCTGGAGAGTCCCACGAACAGAGGAGCCTGGCGAGCTACAGTCTTAAGGTTATGAAGAGTCGAATATGACTGAAGTGACTTCACACACATGTTACAACAAGTATCAGAGTTTCCTTTCTTTTTAAGGCTGAATAATCTTCCCTTTGTACATTGTACAGGGACTCAGCATCTTGTACAGTGTACAGCATTGTACAGGGATTCTAATTTCTTTACATCTTCACCAACTTTTTTTTTTAAATCATAACCATCCTAATAAAGTGCATTCAGGTTTTTTTAAAGAGTCTTTTTGTTATGGAAATTTCCTGATATAAAAAAGTAGAGCAAGGAGTAGTTGAACTCCCATGTATCTGTCACCTCTGCTCAATAATTGTGAAAACTTGGCCAGTCTTGTTCCAATGAAAATCTCTTTCTCCCTCATTATTGGGACTCAGACACCAGTTATCATAAACTTTAATTAATTTAAAAATTGAAGTAGTATAGTTGATTTATAATATATAAACTTTCTCAAAGATAGTTTATATCCTTGTTCGTCAAGTAACCTCAGTAGCTGAGAGCACAGAGGCTTCAGAGTGATGGTGACACTGAAGTTACTGTACATTCTTCCGTTGTTGCAGTAATATATAGATGGTAGTAACATAATGACCCTTATATGGAATTTGCGTAGTTCAGCTGGTAAAGAGTCTACCTGCAGTGCAGGAGACCCCAGTTCGATTCCTGGGTCAGGACATTCCCTTGGCGAAGGGAGAGGCTACCCACTCCAGGATTCTTGGGTTTCCCTGTTGGCTCAGATGGTAAAGAATCTGCCCACAATGCGCGAGACCTGGGTTTGATCCCTGGGTTGGGATGATCACCTGGAGGAGGGCATGGCAACCCACTCCAGTATTCTTGCTTGGAGAATCCCCGTGGACGGAGGATCCTGGCGGGCTACAGTCCATAAGGGTGCAAAGGGTCAAACAGGACTGAACAACTAGGCACAGGCAAAAAGTAAGTAGGTATTAACTCATTTAATTTACACAACAACCATATAAGATAGATATTATTATCCTCATTTTACTGCTGAAGCATTAAGGCACACAGAGATTTGTAAACTGACTACTCCAAGCACAACTAACTAGTAAGTGGCAGAGTTAGGAATTGATCTGAGGCAGCCTGGCGCCAGGGTCCTTCCTCCTAACCATTATACTTTATTGTTGTACTTACTTGACACCCATTTAAGTAAAGGGAAATGTGAGATAAAAAACGTTCTTAACATCTTTGTGGGCTCTGTGGAACTTATTATTTGTTCATTCGGTGCTCCCTGTAGAATCAGTGATTACAGAGAGAACATTTAATCTAAAGCATTCACCCCTATTTTCAAACTGGTATTTTCAGATCTGTTCTCCATCTGAGACCTTGCATTTAGAAAAAGTACACTTGAACTTTTTAGTTGAATTGGCAGATCAAGAGCTTACAGACAGGATATTGCCTCTGAGTATTTAGACTATATTTGCTGACCCCCTGAAGCAGTAATTTGGCACAGTGTTTCTGCTAAGAGTTCAGCAGTATTAGGGGTTTTGACTTCAAAGTGTGTATATGTGTGTTTTATATATATCTTTGTAGATAGACCACTTCTCCACAAATGGAGCCAATCTTACATAAATTCTGAAAACCTTTCAGAGCCATTTAAACCCAAAAAATATCTAAGCATTTGAAGTAGAACTATGTGCAACACAACATGTTACCTTTCTGGAGACTTGTGATAAGTAGAGTAAATAAAGCAACCTGCCCACTTTAAAGGCTTGAAGTTCAGGCCAGAGAACCTCCAGTTAATCTTGCAGAGTTAGTTCTTATTTGGGCACCGATTTACATATACTTTTTATCTTTAAGTCTAAGTTAGTAACCACTATTTGATAAAAACAAACAAACAGTGTTCTGATTTCTTCTGCGTCTTTTGTCTTGGATTATGTGGATCTGGCTGAGCTCTGGTTCGAACACATTTCCTCTGGTGGTTTGGGTCAGTCAAATGTTTGGTTGCAGTGAGCAATAGATCATCATTTCTGCCCATGAGGTGTGCATCTTATGGAGTAGATGACTTTCTCACGCTAATTTTCTTTCCCCTAGGTTTATGAAGGTCTCGACATTATCACCAATAAGGTTTCTGCCCAAGAGCAGAGGCTGTGCCAGCACCACATGATCAGCTTTGTGGATCCTCTCGTGACGAATTACACAGTGGTGGACTTCAGGAACAAAGCAACTGCTCTGATATCCTTCAGGGAGGTAGCAGCTAGGCTTGGTGGCTGCACGGCAGCCCAAGCCAAGAAAGACCTTTTCTTTGTAGTGACAGTTTCTCCTGAGCAGAGATACCAGAGACAACAGTAGCATCCCCATCAGAACTCTTTGGATTGAAAGATACAGTGTCCTTGCTGCTGAATCTTTTCCTCAGACTGCAGGGTCAGCATCACTTAGGAGCTTATAGAAGTGCTGAATTTGGGCCTCATTCTGGACCTACTGAATCAAAATCTGCATTTAACTAGAGTCCCAAGTGATTCACAGGTGTATTAAAATTTGGAAAGTGCTGTTTTAGTGGAGAGAACACTGACTTAGGAACCAGAAAATCTGTGTCCTAGTTTTAGAACTGCCTCTTTTGACCATATAAATGTCATTTCATTGGGTATAGCATTTATCCACTGAGCTTGTTTCCCATCCTTTAAATGGGGATAAGAAATTAATTTAGAAATATAACAGGATTATAGTAGGAGAAAATAATTCTGGGTAACACCAAAGAAATTTTGGAAAAAAGAATAACGTGAGAGGGCTGCCCTTATATTTTAATGTCCAAACTGCCTTTACTATCTGGACTACTATATATTAAAACATATTGAAAAGTGATAATAGTTGTCATAGAATGAAAATTATATAATACTAGACAAATTTATAGCACAGATAAGAAAAGCCAGATACAACTTGAAGTTGCATGTTTGTGTGAATGTATGTATTTTATGATCAAGTGACATTTCAAAACAATGAAGAAATAATGCAGTAGTTTATAATTTTTCCTGGGACAGTTAATTTTTTTTTAAGTGAAATCAGGTCCTTATTATACGTGACATAAGTTCCAGATGGATTTCAGAGTTAAATAAATGTCTTTTTTTTTTTTAATGAAACTTTGAAACAAATGAGATAACATGTAATTGAGTAGTTATGTGATATTAGAGTAGGGAAGGACTTTGTAGATATAGTCTTTTTTTAAGGATTTTTTAATTCAACTTTTTCTTTTTTATTGTGTTAAAGTGTACATAAAATTTACCGTTTATAAGTGTAGAGTTCAGTAGTCTTAAGTATATTCACACTGAGCAGCCGTCACTACCATCTATGCCGATAATAGTCTTTTTTGTTGTTGTTGTTGTTGTTTTTTAAGGAAAATAGCTAGATTTGGATATATTCTTGTATTACCAATACAAGAATTTGTATTGGTAAGAATACTGGCTTCCCTGGTGGCTTAGACAGTATAGAATCTACTTGCAATGCAGGAGACCCAGGATCCATCCCTGCATTGGGACGATCCCCTGGAGAAGGAAATGGCAACCCACTTCAGTATTCTTGCCTAGAGAATTCCATGAACAGAGGAACCTGGAGGGCTATAGTTCATGGGCTACAAAGAGTCGGACGTGACTGTGTGACTTACACTAGCTACTAGCCATTGGTAAGAGTGTTATTTCAACTATTTCAGTTCCTATGTTTTTATCCTGAAGAAACCTTGCCATAATTATACCAGGAGATAATCGGTAGATCTCATTTTAACAACAATATTGCTCTTAACAGCAAAAACATATAAATACCCAAGTTCCTACTTAGAGAGGAATATATAAAATGTTCCTTGTTCATTTAAGTAGTTTTTCAGCAGTGAAAATGATGAAGTTGTAGTTCCATGCATTATGGAGGAAGAATCTTACACTTAATTAAAGGGGGGACATACAATTTGTTTCTCTGTTTAAAAAATGGACATATTTCTTATAATCCTTGACTGGTAACATCTTTTTTCTCACCCTACCCCAACCTCTTATAGAGGGTTTCTGATAGAAAAGAGGTCATCTATCTCTGTGTCCACAGAGTGGCTGGCAAAGGGAAGAAGTGTATAAATGAGTCTTTATTTGGGTTGAAAGTCTCTTTATCAGTTTCCCTCAGAAGCACAGTTCCTCTTAAAGTGGATTTCGTCTTTTTAACAGAGATTCTAAAGAGAAGAATTCCAAGTAGCAGGGGTATGAGAACAATAATGACTAAAGTAAATTGTGTGCTTACTCAGTAGAAAAAAGTATTTCAGGCATTGTCTTATTTTATTTGCATTGTCACATGTAATGCTCATAAGAGCTCATGAGAATTTTACAGGTGAGAAGGCTGAGGCTTAGACAACTTGAATGACTTGCTGAGTGTTGGAGCTGGTAATTGAAATCTATTGTCTTTACATCCGATGCTTCCCAGGTCATCTGGTAGAGTTTCAAGTGTGAAATATATACTACTACCCCAGAATGGTGAAGACTGACTGAGTCTAAGAACCACGGCTTAGAGAAACCAGCTCATAATTTGCCTTAGAAGGCAAAGTCACATAATGGATGTCATTTTCGTAGCTTCCTGAGCAGCTGACACTTGGTTCTGTGAGAGTTCTTTAGGCTTGTGCTTGTTTAGCTAATTTGGAATACTAAGCAGGCTTTGAATTTGAGCATCAAGGCTTAGAAAGTTCCAGAACTGGAAGGAATTACTATCATGTATCTGTCTCTGATTTTTGCAAGTCCCTCCAGAACTGATAGGAAATGATTCTGAAAACTCATGAGAAACAGTAAAGACTAGTATCAAAAATATGACAAATGAATGTGGTTTCTTACTAATCCCCTACTTCCAAGTGAGTCAGCATTTTCTTCTTGTTATTAAATATTTTGATATCTTTCTTAACATTCACATTGAAGATATATTTGCCCGAGATAAAATTCCTATTGTCGTGGGAGGGACCAATTATTACATCGAATCTCTGCTCTGGAAAGTTCTTGTCAATGCTAAGGTATGTTTAGTTCCCTTGTAGTTCAATGAGGAAATGGGCTCTTTCTTGCCAGCTGATTTTAGTGGGAGGAAAGTTGACTCCTGCCTATTTCTTATACTCAGCAACTGTGCTAATTTTCCTACCTAATATTCTGAAGCAAGTGCCATTTCCATATGTGAAGTGTTCTCCTCTAGGCTGGCCTAAGGGCAGCAGGGGCTGTATGTGGGGAAAAAAGGTTCTCTGTGGATTCATTAGCATTGCCATGTAAGTTAACAGTATGTTAGTCTGTTTCAGCATTTCCCGGCTGTAACAATCTATATGTGTCAGGGAGATACCTGACATCAACCTTTTTTACAGAGGTGCTGTTTATAGGGTGGGATTTTGCAAACTCTTCAGTATAATGTGCTGGAAATTCTGGTCCATTCTTGGGTCATACTTGTTGAGAAGCTAGACTCTTGGATGCGTTAATAGATGTATTAGCTGGGGTAGCTCGTACTTCTGACAAGGAAGCAGTGTACCTGAGTACTTCCCTAGGCAGTAGATCCTCTTTCCTCTTTATTTGCTGTGGCCTCATAGCACTACCGTAGTGTGTTGGAATTTTCTGTTTATGATCTCTCACTATATGGCAAGACCTCCTGATTGATCTCAGTTGTCTTCCTAATACTTAACCAAAGTGCCTGGCACATACCGTTTCTCAGTGTTTGTTGAATTAAATTTACCTCTAAACCTTTGTTTGATAGCCCCAGGAGATGGGCACTGAGAAAGTGATCGACCGAAAAGTTGAGCTTGAAAGGGAGGACGGCCATGTTCTCCACAAACGCCTGAGCCAGGTTGACCCGGAAATGGCTGCCAAGCTGCACCCACATGACAAGCGCAAAGTGGCCAGGTAAGAAAGCTGGGGCCACTGACCCCAAGCCCCTTTAGAGGTAGAGGGCAGTCAGTTCTTCAGGGTGCCTGGGTGGCGAGACAGGTTTGGTAATAGCATCTAGTGGAGATTGATGTGTTATTAGCACAGCAGGTTAGGAGGCCCTGAGTTATTGCCTCAGTCCTCCCTCAGTTAATAGTCGCAGCCTGCTTTGTTGTGACGTTTAAAACTCGTCATGCAGTGCAGTCGTTCCCTGAGGCCTGAGCGCTCTGGCTTCATTTTCTGTTTGGCCTTTGCTTCTATGACAGTTTTCATATGAATTTTTTCTGGCATGCAGCAGTGGCTGAGTTCTGCCGCAGCACACTGCCCACTGGCAGGCAGGTTTTATTTTTATTTTTTTCCATAACTTGATTTATTTACTTGTTTTGGAGGTGAGTTTTATAAATTGTCTTATTGATCAGCTCACCTTAACACATGGAGACTTTCTTGAAGGGAAGAGAGAGATGATCTTAGTTCATTAACCATGTTTTCTTAGGTTATTTTGAAATTGAAGCCTCATATGTTAAGTGTGGTTTTCTCCCTCCCTCCCTTTTATTAGATGGTTTATTTTTTCATCCATAAATAATGCATCTTCATTGGCTCCATATTCTGTTCAGTTCTGACCACATCTTCATTTATCAGTCATCTTACCTACTTTTTTCCTTCCAGTTTTCTTGATATGTAATTGACATACAGCACTTATAAGTTTAAGGTCTACAGTGTAATGATTAATTTTACATACATCATTACATTATTACCATGATAAGTTTAGTGTACTTATATAGATAGAAAATAAAAGAGAAAAATATTTTTCTTGTTATGAGAACTCTTAGGCCTCCCTCTTAACTTTTATTTATAGCTTACAACAGTGTTAGTTTTATTTATCATGTACATTCCAAACCTAGTACTTGTTTATCTGTAACTGTAAGCTTGTATCTTTTGACTAACTTTATTCAGTTCCCCCTTCTCCCACCCCTAGCCTCTGTTAACCACACATCTGATTTCTTTTTCTTTTGTTTTGAAGTATAATTGATCTGGAACACTGTGTTGATTCCTAGTGCACAACATAGTGATTTGATATTTCTATACATTACAGTATGATCACCACTTAGGTGTACTTTTATGCAATGCTGGAGATGACACCATATCTGGCAGAGTAGAGGCTCTAATGAAGACCTACTATATGGATGTTTATACACTTTAAATATTGTAGCAACATTTGGTATTGATAGGGGTTATGAAATATTCCACTCAAATAAGTGTTCTAGATCAGTGTTTCTTTTTTTTTTTTTCATTTATTTTTATTAGTTGGAGGCTAATTATTTTACAGTATTGTAGTGGTTTTTGCCATACATTGACATGAATCAGCCATGGATTTACATGTGTTCTCCGTCCTGAACCCCCCTCCCACCTCCCTCCCCATCCCATCCCTCTGGGTCATCCCAGTGCACCAGCCCGGAGCACTTGTCTCATGCATCCAACCTGGACTGGCGATCTGTTTCACACTAGATCAGTGTTTCTTAAGCCTTCTCTTTTGTCCACTCTGCCCTTGAAGCTTTTTTAGAAAATTTTTTCTCTTGTTGTAACTCCCTTCCTCCCCTCCTTGAAATTTTGATACTAAAGAATAAGATTTGGGTTATGGCTACCCTTTGGAAGGCTGCACGTGATTACAATATCTAAGTGTTTTTTGCCCCCTTGAGGTCAGTATCATCCTGTTAATAATGCATATTCTAGATAAGTATATATTTTCCAGTATTCAAACATTTTGTTGTAAACATTTAATAGAAATCTTCCAAAACTTTTTTGGAAAACTCAGGGATACTAGATGAACATTCATTTCTGTATTGTTTGATGGTATGATTATCTGTTCCTTTCATTAATCAATTCTTATAATTTCTTTGTTTTGCTACTTCTAAAATAGTAATGAGTTGAGGATATATTTTAGTTAGAACAATAGGTTCTGAGCAGGAGTTCTAGAGTCTTTAAAAGAAGATCCAAGGACCTTTTTCATCTTTCTTTTTGTTTGAGGCTGTATATTCTAACCTCCAGATAAGTAAGATATCTGTTACTACTTTTTTTCCCTTGTAAGGCCTCTTTTGAAAGACCGGTGATGGGCAAAGACGAGGGGTTTCTACTCCTGTGTTAGGGTTTCAGGAAGTAGAATTGGATCAGGAAGGGATAGATCACTTTCAAACTGATAAGTTGCAATCACCCAGAGTGGTAGAATATAGATTTGAGAGTTAAATTACCTGGTGCTGCATAACATAGTAGATACTAACAGAGTGGATGGTGGCTTAAGTATGTGAATTCTTTCTTCAGGGATCTTTGTGTGTGTAGTAGAGTACTGAATTAGTCTGAAGCATTCTTCATTAATTTTAGACATATTTAAAAAGGAAGTTGACGAGCTGGATATACAGCATACTTTTGTACTGTGGGAAAGGCATTCCAGCAAGACTAGACTTGTTGGCTTGTAACAAGGTGTCCCAGCAAGCTTTTACTGCTTACTTGAAAGTGAATATGTCCTATTCTGTTTGTGTAGAAGAAACCTGTTGCTTCTGAACCTAAAGATTTCAGACAATTTTATGTATGTTTAGAAGGGTAGTTTTATTTTTTTTAAGTTTTCTTTATAACTCTTTTCTGTGTAGCTATAGGATTGCTGTATAACCCCAGACCTTCATGTGTTCAGGGGCTTAAACGGTGAAAATGACAATGAGGCATTCTATAATAAATAGCCTCTCTCCTGTTTTACTTGAGAATTAATATTTCCTAATGGTTTTTATGGATGTGCCTACTCTACTCTTTCAAATGACTTAGGAGCCTGCAAGTGTTTGAGGAAACGGGAATCTCTCATAGTGAATTTCTTCATCGTCAACATGCGGAGGAAGGAGGTGGTCCCCTTGGAGGCCCTCTGAAGTTCCCTAACCCATGCATCCTCTGGCTTCATGCGGAACAGACAGGTAAAAGTCCTTTAGTATCTCAGAGTCCATCTGAGATAAAGCTTATAGTAATACATTGCTGTATATAAAATGTTTAGAGTAAGTCAACTATACCTCAATAAAATGTTGTTTTGAAAAAACATACATGTTCTTAGTGGCATATGAATGGCTCATAATAAGCGCTAAGCAAGTGTTCGCTGTTAATTTTACTATCATTACCAAAGGCACAGTGTTATTTCCCTGGGTACCGGTCTGGAAAGCAGGTAAAGGTATTCCTGGAATTAGTATAAGATACCAAGGATGAGATAAGATGGGATGGGAGAAGGGCTGCTATCCAGAGCAGATCCAAAGGAGAAAGAGAAGGATCCTGTGGAAGGAGGTCTGACTCTCTGAATTGGCTAGTGCTTTCTCCTTATGTAATAAGATGATGTGCCTCATTCTTGCTGTTTTTATTGAACTGCAGAGTTTGTGAGTGAATATAATTATGAATTATTAGATAATCTTTGGACTCTGAACTTTTTCTTCCATTTGAACAAATTCTCTTCTTTGTGGCAGCTTATGCATTCATCATGTATAGTACGCACCTTCGGCAGGCTTGCTGGTTGATGAGTTAATTTGATTCAAGTTCTAGATGAGCGCTTGGATAAAAGGGTGGATAACATGCTTGCTGCTGGGCTCTTGGATGAACTAAGAGATTTTCACAAACGCTATAATGAGAAGAAAGTTGCAGAAAATAGGTGAGAATTTGGCTGTTACTGTCACGTACTCTTCATCCCTTGCTTATGGTCAGAAGACCATAAACACAGTACTGGCTTTGGATCTACTTGTTTATTAGCCTTCGTCCTTGGCATTGGCTCCGCTTGTAGGAAGGAGGGTTGGTGTACTTGTACAGTTTCAGGTCTCTAATCTCACAAACATTCCCAGGAGTTAATTTTCAATGGAAGTAACCTGGGAGCTGATTGGGGGGGTGTAGAGGAAGGATTTCAGAGAGGTGGTGACTGCTCAGGATCTCAGTTTCTCCATCTGTGAGATGAAATGGTTCAGCTAGATCATCTCCAGGGCCCTCTAGCTCTCAGATGCAATGGCTTATCCACTGATGCTCTCTTGTTCCCAGCCAGGACTATCAACATGGTATCTTCCAATCAATTGGCTTCAAGGAATTTCACGAGTACCTGATCACTGAAGGAAAATGCACACCAGAGATTAGAAACGAGCTCCTAAAGAAAGGTGTGAATTCTCCATCTAACCTAGCCTTGGACATCCTTGGGTGATAGAGTGTCCAGCTGGTATGGTCAGTAAGAACTGAGGTTGAAAGAGTCCCAAATGGCCTTCAGCTCAGAATGGAGATTTTTCACATATCGAGTATCCACCAGTGTGCTGATGTGGCTAGTTGTCTCTGATGCCAGGCTGGCTGGACCTTGCGGCAGAGTGAGAAGTGCTTACAGGTTCTTACGTTCTGCTTTGTCTTTTAGGTATTGAGGCTCTGAAACAAGTGACTAAGAGATACGCCCGGAAACAAAACCGATGGGTTAAAAACCGTTTTTTGAGCAGTAAGTCTCCTTGTTTTTCCTTATGCTCTGGGTCTGCTTTTAATAGAACATCAGCATTCTCAGCTCACCCAGAAAGTAACCTTTAGTTTCTGGATCTGACCTGGGGGGTGTTGCATAAGTGATTATCCAGGGGTGTTTTCTTTTGATACCTCAGGAAACAGTTCTTCCCGAGGAAGAATCTACCTTATGCCTTGAACACCCGAGTACTTATGCCTTGAACACCCGAGTACCGGCTGCAAGCTAGTAAGAGTAAAGTAGCAATATTTTCTTAGCAGAGGTGGTGCTTGGGGTTGATCTTAGTTAGCTTCAGATTTTATACCTGAAGAACAATTAGATGTCTATAGGAAGGCTTTCCTAATTAAAATGGTTTTGGGGCCAGATAAGTATATAAAAAGACAAAACCTTTACCAGTTCTCCTAGCATTACTTTTGTGTTCAGATACGTGGTGTTTCAGGCTGCTGCACCTCTTAACTTCAGTTGAACAGTGCTTTTAAGGAAAAGGGAAGGAAATTCTCATTCATTGGACCCTGTACTATATCCTTAGCGCTAAATTGGGTGCAGTACATTTATTACTGGGACTTCAAGGTGGACATTTTTCTTTTCTTTCTGAGGATAAGTAAATAGAGGCTTAGGGAAGTTAAATAACTTGTTCAAAATCCCCTTGCTAATAAGCAGTAGAGTACTGGATGCAGGCCTGACTCCAAAGTCCACACTCAGCTGTACACCCACTGCACTTGTTTCCTCAGCTATACCTTTAGCTGGATAGCATTAGTATTGGGCCTTGAGTCAGGAGTGGTGTGGTCATGAGCTAAAAGATTAAAGGAGATTAAGCATAAATGAAACCCTGTTTTTATCTTTTGAGCACTTTTTAAATATGCTTTTGAATCAACTCCTGTTACCTTTGCCATTGAATTTCTGCTTTCAGTTAGTTACAGGTAAGTACAGCCGAGGCCTCCTCCTCCTCCCCAGTGCCTCCGAACAGAAATGCCTTGGTCTGTGTTGTTTGACCACTGGATCGCTCTCTCAGTTCTCTTTCTCTGCCAGAGTTCTCCATGCAGCTCTTCTACTTACCGTGCTTTCTCTGCACATCTTTCTAGATAGAAGTCTTTTTGTCAGCCGAAACTGAAGTTCACTACTACAGATTTCTAACACAGCCTCTTTTCCCAACAGGCCTAACAATTAGTCTGTAACAAAAGATGGGGTTTTTGGGGGTAATGATTTGGAACTTCTTCCTGTGGTAAAGCCGCAATAACCCCCCATCTCTGAGTCACTCAGGGTTGATGGCACAGTGCATCGTATGCTCGTTCCTCATTCGTGTGTGTGCCCACACAGCCCTGTGCTGGAGTGAAAGGCACAGCTGCCCTGTAAATCAGGAACTGCATGTGATTGGCCAGGGGCTGGTCTGCTGGGATACGGCTCTGGCACAAAGCCAGAGGGACTTCCCCACCCCAGCTTGGCCTTGGAGCTAAGCCAGAAATAGCAGCTGGGAGCCGAGAACTTGTTGAAAGGTGCTGAGACAGGGCACAGAAGCCCAACAAAGGACTTAGAAGGGAAAGGAAAATATAGAGTGGTCTGGAAACAGGTGCAGAGCTTAGCCAAAGCCAGGTGTGCTGTGGATGCTGCCTGCACCCTCCCAGTCTCACCTTTCCGTGTGGTGGCAGGTGCAGCCCAGTCCAGTTTATGAAGAATCTTATTTGTGGTTGGCACAATCAAAAGGCCAGCACCTGCCAGCCGTTAGCATTCCGAGGACTTTGATGTTTTTGTCCATGGGGTGATGCTCTTTACCTTTAGGCAACTGACTGAACCTAGATATGGAAGACAATTTAGAGTGTCCTCAGACTAAGGAAGCCACCAGCAGAGGCTAAACATGGTTGGCTCAGTTGGATGAAATGCCTGTAGCTGTACATTTGACTACCTCCAGTCTTACCTCCATTCAGGAGTAATTCGCCATAGGGTATTTCTTGAGTACTTCTCTAGATCTGTTTCTTAGAAACAGGGCTCAACTACTTCAGTTCCAAGGCTTTTTTCTTATTTTCAGATTCAGCAGCTCCCTGGCTGATACCCTGCTGTTGCCATCCCATGATTATCAGTATGGTATTAATGAGTTTTGTGAGTGCCAGACTGCTGAAGGGAGATACACAAACCTGAGATTAGTGTCTTTTTCTAAAGAAAGCTGTGAACTCTCTTGCCACAGAGTGACATCACCATCAGATGATATGGGCCTTAGAACAGGTGTTCACTTCAGGCTGCTAATTTCCCCCTATAAGATACTGCCTTTTATATTGTAGCCCATATAGTGGCCACTGGGGATGTTTCTGTGTGTTGTTTTCCTGAGTGATCTGGGAGACCCCACACTCAAGACCCTAGATTATATAGCTAGACGTGTTGGCTCCAGACCAATCAACCTTCTGGGTCTTTCTTGGACTGTGTGTGGTCGTTTGGTTTGTGTTACTGATTAAAAGGAATGGCATGGTCAGAATGTTTATTTCTTTGGTCCCGTATCTTTCCCTTGAGGATTTTGGAGTCCTGGGAGCAGAATAGATTGGGTCTTGGAAGCTGACCTCTCACAACTTTTCTTTGTCATCATTAGGACCTGGTACCGGTGTCCCCCCAGTATATGGCTTAGAAGTATCTGATGTCTCGAAGTGGGAGGAGTCTGTTCTTGAACCTGCACTTGAAATTGTGCGAAGTTTCATCCAGGTGATTATTAATCATGGTCCCGTCTATTGTCTGATTTTCAGAGAGCTTTGTGTAGCTGACACCTTTGTTGCTATGCTGGGGAATGAAGCATTCTTTTCCATGGAATAAAGCAGAAGGGCTGGCTGCTTTTAGATCCCTGGAGGCTGTGTTTCTACTTTCACATTCAGAAAGGTTGTTGTTAAAATCTGTTCACAGCCCACCTGCTCTCTGGCATGAAAAAAAGGAATCTTGGGAAAATCTCACTCCTCTTAATATCTGAGAATGATATCCAGATCTCTTTGAACAAATGCTTCTTCCCCATCCCTGCCTTGTTTTTTCCAGGGCCACAAACCTGCAGCCACTCCAGTAAAGATGCAAAGCAATGAAACTGAGAACAAGAGAAGTTACCATATGTGTGAGCTCTGTGATCGAATCATCATTGGGGACCGTGAATGGGCAGGTAAGAGTCTGGGGTAGAACACAGAGAAATCTGCAAGGGTGGGTCCCACTGACTTCATGAAATTTAAGGGCTTTGGTAGCTTGAATGCTGGAGTCTGCTTGGTTGTAAAAAGATGGCCAGATTCCTCTAACAGCCTGTGTTCAGATTTCATGGAGGCCTTCTCAAACGGGAGAGTTGTCTCTGTATTCTGAATTTCAAAGGAAGATTGTATGCCCTCTAGCTTTGGCTAGAGTAGATATTTTATACTGAGAGTTGGCAGTTAACTGTCCAGAGCTTCTTTTACTTTTGTAATCCTGCCTTAGAGGAGTTTCATGGCCTCTCATGTTTAGACCTCAGTGACGGTGAGGTAGGATTTTAAGGGAAGTCAGGCAACTTACCCAAGAGACCAAAGGGGCAGAAACAGCTGGGAGGGGACAGGAAGTGCAGTTACTCCTCCTGAGTACATTCTTCAAAAGTGGTATCTCCAATAATTTTTAAGGTAATGTGTTGAAATGCTGTTGGTTGCATAAACTGATGAGAAGTGTTAAGGTGAACTCTGTGGAAGCAAGACTGTCAGATACTCAGAAAGACAGTGGTGAAAGGGTACTCTTCTTTACAAGGTGCTTCCAACCAACCCAGGATTGGCCTGCTGCAAGGTTCTAGTTCCTTGCTTCAGAATCTAGGTCTGTCTTTGCCAGAGTCAGCCGCATTGCACTTCTCTGTCGGATTTCTACAGTCATCCAGCAAAGCCCAAAAGGGTCTTAGCTGCCAAGCCTTGGATTTACGTGGTATTCAGAAACTTGTTTAAAGCTTACTCCTTTTACGCACAAGTAGGACTTGTATTTTACCCAGTGACTGGAATCCTTCTGTTCAGAGGACTGCTTTGCATGGTTGGGATTCTCACAGAAGTAGATTTTTCTCCCCATACCAACCAATAGAACTATGAGTTCTATTAACTGTTAACTCTGGCAAAATGAACTGCATTGTCAGAGTCTGGGGATGGCTGTGATTGCCCAGGCAGCAGAAGAAGCCTCGATTATCGTTGGTTCATAATGATGAAAGGGGAAGAGAAAGAGAGTGGCTGATTGTTTTTTCTAAAGGAAACTTAGTGGTTCGATTTGTCGAATGTCCTTCAGGGATTGCCATAGAGAAGCAACATTTGTGAGCCTTTGTGAGTGGAGCTTGTGTGAGCCTTCTATACTGCCATCTGTCAAGTCCCTGCTCCCATCTCCTGCTGCCTTGGGGAGTCAGTCCAGAGGTCATTTTTTGCCTTAGGCTCTAGCTGGAGACAAAAGCTGACTTTTTCCCTCAAGTAAATTTTTCCCTGACTTCTAACTTGGCTTCCAAATCCCTAAAAATGATGTTTTGAGTAAGTGTAAAAGAGAGTTTAATCTCGCTGTCTGTCTTTTTAGGTATTTCCAAATAAGATTTCCTTGAAAAAGAGCAGGCTAGTAAAAAGGAACTTCTTTGAGTTACAAGCTGAGAACTGCCTTTGGGGTGAGAGGTCAGAAATTGATATTAGCCGAAAGTAGCTTTTTACTGCTTCTGTGACCCCTTGAAAGGGACCATCAGAAAAGAATACTTGCTGTGATCTCTCTGTGCATTGTGTGCTAGAGAATGTGAGTGTCTGGGTTAGCCATTCAGATGGCTTATCTGACGTAGGCAGAGGGTTGTCACACCAGGAGGGGCAGCCTGAGCAAGCTGGTAAGAAGTGAGAAGACAGCTCAGGGTACTGTAGGCCTACAATACAGACAAGAATTTGGATTTGTAACTTTTGAGCCATGTGAGTTGAAATTGTATCTGTAACAGGCAGCCCCATATGGAAAAATCAAATCTTGAGCCCTATTCTGGAAAATTGGATCTCTTTTTGAGCTATAGCTAAGCCAAAGAACTTACCTGCTGTGTGACCTTGGACAAGATGTAAGACCTCCATGAACATCAGTCTCCTGTATAAATGAGCTGAATAATACTGTCTCGTAAGATTGTTGTGCAGATTAGTGATAGAAAGCACCCAGCAGATAGACATGGTTCATGGTATAGCTCACTCTAGTTTGCTAGCTAGCTGGGCATATGACTTACTCTTCTTTTAAAAATGCTAAGCAGCTATACCAATACATGTATTGATCATGTTATTGTTAGAGACAAGGATTGTATGGTTAATTTTGTATGCTACCAGAATTAATTGTAGAAAACCCTAATTTTTTTTTTTTTTTTGTCTTAGCACATATGAAATCCAAATCCCACTTGCACCAACTGAAGAAAAGAAGAAAGTTGGACTCCGATGCCGTCACCACCGTAGAAAGTCAGAGTGTTTCTCCAGACCATGACAAAGAGCTTAAAGAAAAGGGATCCCTTGGGCAGAATGATAAAGAGCTGAAAGTCAGCATGTAAGGGACTTGTCCAGTGACCTTTGCAAAAGTGGCAAGAGTCCAGTTCTTCCATTCAGTGCTGTGGTTTTAAAGTCTCATGTTCTCTGCCGTGGAGACAGTAGGTCCTGTTAGCTCCTTGTGTGGCTGATGTGTCTGGTAATGATGAGTTCAGGAAAGGAGTTTTTCTTTTTTTTTTTCTTTTAATCTTAAAGCTTCTATTTTTAAAAGAGGCACAGATTGCACTTTTTTATATTTGATCTTCTTGGTGATAACTACTGGGATTCACTGTATCCCTTTTAATAAAGTTTTATGTCCTTGACTCTGGCTGGAAATACCTAATTTCCAGACACTTTTATAGCTGACTGAATTATTGTGAGCCACAGTTCCAGAGTTCTGGATGGGAGTGAATGGCAGGAAAGGATCAGCCCCAGTGAGATATCTAAGTGAACCAAACCAGTTTCAGGAATTCCATAAAGAAGCAGAGAATCAGACTGAGGTGGTTGGGACTTAAAGTCTGAAGACTATGACATTTGTTGAGCTCTTCCTGTGTGATAATCACTGGTATATTCCTGTTGAGTTAGGAATCTATTTTTATTCAAAGTTAAATAAAGAAAAAGTTTTTAGGAGCCTCTCTAGTGCTTAAAAAGATATCTATGTGATGTCTAACATATAGTGTGCTTTGTTTTCAACATGAGAGCTTTTTCTCAAAGTCAGTGTTCTTAATACGCTATTTGTTTATTTAGCAGATGCTTATTGAGCAGTTCATTATATTCCTGGAAAACATCTGGAAAGGGTCTTTTTGTTTGGCATGCGGGATCCTAGTTCCCCAAAGAGGAATCAGTCTTGTGCCCCCTGCAGTGAAAGTGTTGAGTCTTAATCACTGAACTGCCATGGAAGTCCCAGGGGGACTTTTTTTTAATTGGAGATTTGTTATTTCCTGTTGAAGCTCTCTTGCTGGAGTGAACTGAGCTACCAGCCATATATGAATGTAACATAAAATTAAGCATTTTTAAGTTCACAGTTCAGCAGCATTTATGTTATGCAACCAGAACTTTCTCATCATCCCAAACAGTGTACCTATTAAGCAATAACTACCCACTTAAACAGTATTTTATTTGTTTAGAATCTAGAATCCACCTGAAATTCGGGAGACCTGGATTCGATCCCTGGGTTGGGAAGACCCCTGGAGGAGGGCATGGCAACCTACTCCAGTGTTCTTGGCTGGAGAATCCCGAGGACAGAGGAGCCTGGCGGGCTTCAGTCCATGGGGTCACAAAGAGTTGGGCATGACGGAGCGACTTAGCACACACACACTATATGAGAGGCCCTGAGTAGGCTAGAGGGATACGGAGACAAAATGAAATGTGATTCTTGCTTTCACAGAGCTTGAAATATTGTTATCTATACACAAACAACAAATTTAGGTAAGAGAATGTCAAAAACCATAAAGGCTGTAAAGAATTTCACTTGGAGGGAAGAGAGAAGAGGGATCATGGAAAAAGGAGTATTTCTACCAGACCTTAAAAAGCAGTTCTTGGTGAATGTATTGTGAGCTATGCAGAAATTTTATTTTTTAGATTTTTTTATATAGTTCAAAAATCAAAATGATATAAAAAGAGATATTCATTGAAAAATCTCGCTCCTACCTCCATCCCCTTCTCCTCTTATAATCACTTACTCATTTTTTTATGTATATCTCATGAGTTTTTAAAAGTAATTAAGAACAAATGCAAATGTATTATTCTTGTTTCTTCCCCTTACTGAAAAGATAACAAGTAGTGCACACTGTCTTCATTTGCTTGCTTCCTTGTTGGCAATACCTGAGTGTGCGTGGGTTTCTCCTGCCTCCTCAGGCAGGTCTCCTGTTTCTTTTCTTTACCACCCTCCTGAAAGTCACCCAGTTGACCCCAGGCCTTAAGTAAGGGTCCACAACGTTTGCTGAACTTCATTCAGATGCCAGGGTTAGGCCAAAATTAGCCTCTGAGGAATTCTCAGGCTGTGGGCCAGCTTTTTCATTCAACCAGCACATATTTTAGAACTTACTCTGAGCAAGGTGCTGTGCTAGACTCTGGGAGTTCAGTGATTACAAAAGCCCACATTGGTCAAATAGTTACAGAATTACAGCTGTGATAAGGGCTGTGAAGAAAGGACCCTCGCTGTGAGTGCAGGTAATCCGCAGCCCTGCGCCTCCTTTCGTGTGTGTGTGCGTGCGTGCGTGCATGCATGCGTAGGTGTGTACTGAGGTACATGATGTGGTACACCACGAGTCTGGAGCAAAGACTGCACATAGTAGCACATGATCTGGAAAGTCGGATTTCACAACTTCAGTGCCTTCTTCCCCTGACCCCTCACCTCCAGTCTGTGGGATGCCCTGGATTCCTTGAGTTTTATTGATCCTTACTCACATTACCTGATTTGAATCTCAAGAATAAATGTATTTTTTGGTCAAAGAAGAAACTGTCATTGAATCCACATCATCTTATTCTCTATATTAAATGTGGTGTAATTTTCCCAATCAGTGTATTAACTACTTCAGGAGCTGATGAGGTGGGAGGTAGCATCTTCCCTCTGGAAGTGGAGAGGAATCCTTACTGTGAGCCAGGCAGCACCATGCAGTGTGTATGCATTAGCCTCTCATACAACCCTGGGAGAGAGAGACTGTTTTTGTATATGTTCCCCAGTGGGGAAACAGGCGCAGCAAAGGTACCTAAGCCAGGACATGGCAAAGCTGGAATTGAAGCGAGGCCACAGAATTCAGGATTCAAGCTGCTGAGCCCTGTGTTAAGCTGGCAGATTTTAAAGAGGAACCTTATTGGATGCATGAGACAAGTGCTCTGACCTGGTGCACTGGGAAGACCCAGAGGGATCGGGTGGAGAGGGAGGTGGGAGGGGGGATCGGGATGGGGAATACATGTATATCCATGGCTGATTCATGTCAGTGTATGACAAAAACCACTTTTAAAAAATTTAAAAAAAAAAATAAAGAGGAACCTTAGTCTCTGAAATGCTCTTCACTCAAGTTGCTAAGTATGTTTTAAACCTTAAAAAAATTTAAATGGAGAAGCAGGAAAAACTAGTTTTAGTAATCCTTCCTTAAAAAGCCTTTAATCCATTCATTTGAAATACCTGGAACTACAACTTCTCCTTGAACTAACCATCCCTATCTCTGTGACAGCTGGCAATCAGGGATTTCTTGAAAGAGAAAAATCCAAGCACCCAGTGTTTGTGAAACACTTCAGTCTAAAGCACTGTGGTTGTGCCCACTATCCCTATTCTTGTTGTTCGGTCGTTCAGTTGTGTCTGACTCTGTGTGACCCCATCGTCTGTAGCCCACCAGGCTCCTCTGTCCATGGGATTCTCCAGGCAAGAATACTGGAGTGGGTTGCCATTTCCTCCTCCAAGGGATCTTCCCAACCCAGGGATTGAACCTGCATCTCTTGCGTTAGCAGGCAGATTCTTTGCCGGGTTCGTAGAAACTGTCAATTCAGCAAGATAAAATTCCTGTACCCGCAGCAGAGGGCCTGGGGAAGGCAGAATCCTCACTAGCAATCTCTCCTCTCTAGGAATCTACTCGGTGGTCCTGATCTGAGGCACTGCTTTGAGGTCAATTGCCCCTTTCTGCCTGCTGCCCCGTGAATGACTGCTGTTGTGTGTAGGGAAGGAAGCAGTTCTGCCTAGTGATTGTCATAAATGTAGAGGTAAGCGGGTCCTTAGCACCTTCTTGTACAGGGGTGGAAACTGAGGCCCCAAACATAGATGTTTCATAGTTACAGGTTGTGACAAAGCCAGCACAAAGCTCAGGTCTCCTCTGTCACTCAGCTTGCCCAGTCTCATACCAGATCTCATTTGAGAGCAGGAAAGGACCACCTTTGGGCATTTTGTTCAGCCTAGAGAGGATGAGAAGTGCCCCAGTTAATCGCTAGACAAGCAGAGCCTGAGTGTAGGTGCAGGTACCTAGAGTCTCCAGTCCGTGTCAGTGCTGTCTAAATGGCTTTGGCAATTCCCACTCTCAGCAAGCTACTTAGGGCCATCTACCTCTGTTAATAAAAACCTTCCCCTCAGTTTATTTTTTTTAATTTTTAGAGGATAATTACTTCACAATATTGTGGTGGCCTCTGCCATACATCAACATGAATAGGCCTCCCCTCAGTTTCAAGAGAGAATTGACAGAGTAGAAATCTTGAGACTTTAGACACTTCTTATAGTTCAGACAGTGCTGTTTTAAGTAGGCAGAAAATATTTTGACTCTGGAAAGAGGTGGATTCTTAGTCTTGAAAATATTTTGAGTTTAGCAAGAGAACATTTTGTCTATAGCCTAGGTTTGTGGTTTGAACCTTTGTATTGACAATTCTCAGTAATTATTTATATTCTTAGCCTCAGTTCCACGTTCTACAAAGATTTTTTGCTTAAAACACTTAGCACACTTAAAAAAAAAACTAGAAAGAAGGCTTTTACAAATACAGCAACCTGTCTGTATATCCCCAGCATCTAGAAAGTTCAGTATTTGTTGAATTAATTGTGTGAAAACCTCGAAGTTAGTGGATTTCTACATAAGCAACCTGTTTTTTAATTGTTAAATAACCTTTAAGTGGGATGAAAAAATCTTGGGATAGTAGCCACAGAAAGGAATTTCATTATTTGATTATCACCTACTTGGGTGGTTAGGGCTGTTTTCTGAAAAGCTGGCTAACAGGTCATTTGTAAAGCTGTTTTGAATACATACAAAGGCCTCTGCACGGTTGTATTAGTTAGGGTAAAAGGCTAAGCTGCTGTGACAAAGAGACTCAACAATACAGTGGCTTAAAGAACAAAGAAGTTTGTTTCCTTCTCACGTAACAACTCTGAGGGGAGTTAACATTTCCGAAGTGAGCAGTGCAGGTCAGTGGGGCAGCTCCGCTGCCAGCGGTTCTTCAGGGACACAGACTCCATCTATAGCACGTTGCCTCTCCGCCGTCTGGGGGGCATCGTCAGCACTGCCTGCTTAAAGTTGGGTTGTCTCTGGTTCCAGTCAGTGGGAAGGGG